TATATAGGCTCTGAATCGTGCGGCGTAGCAACCTTTTTTTTGCTCGACCTGTGACTGTTATCTTACGCGAGCGCAAATAAACAAGTTTCTCATTCCTCCCGCGCCACGGCTTCGTATCTGGCACGACTGCTCTTTTTCACCTATATAGGCTCTGGATCGCGCGGCATAGCAACCGCATGACTTAGCTATGTGCAACTTCATGAACAGTCACAATTTGTATCTGGCGCGACCACTGCCTATATAGGCTCCGAATTGCGCGGCTTCCTATAAACATACAATCCCCTGCTGTGCCCCAAAGCGGAGTACAGTAGGATGCCACTGAGGGCAGAAGGGAACTTAGAGTGGTGGTGAGTTGTCCAGCGCACCACTAACAATGCGCTAACCCTTATGCAAACTCTTTTGGCGCATTGTTGGTGGTGCGCTGGACAACTCACCACAACTCGAACTTTGCACAAGGAAAAAACAAATCGTCGCATTTGCACAAATGTTTATATATCCATACGCTTTGGCCTATGTTAACCATGTGCGCGTGCTGATTATGACGGTCGTTCACAAGAAAGTGGTTAATTCGCATATGGTCGCTTTTGCAAACATTCCGAGTTGTCCAGCGCACCACCAACAATGCGCTACACCTTATGCAAACTTTATCGTTCCACGAAAATAACTTTCCATAAGGAAAAAACCAATCGTCGCATTTGCACAAATGTTTATATATCCATACGCTTTGGCCTATGTTAAACATGTGCGCGTGCTGATTATGACGGTCGTTCACAAGAAAGTGGTTCATTCACATACGGTTGCTTTTGCAAGCATTCCGATCTATAACTTATTCTGCGACACTTTCAATCGATTGTCATCGCCGCGCTTCACGAGTTTCCCACCATCGCTCGACCTTTCGCGGACTTCAGCGTTGCGCACAACACTCAAGTGTTAAAAATGAAGTATTGTGAAAGAAGTCTCCTTCACAATATAGAACAGTGGAAGGATGAGCCGTTCAACCCTCGCAACACCTCTGCCCTTAGGCAGACTGCTACGATGGGCGAAGCACAAATACTCGATACATAAGGGAAACTCTCCTTCACGAAATAGAACAGTTGAAGAATGAGCAGTTCAGCCCTCGCGACACCTCTGCCCTGAGGCAGTGTGCTACGATTGGCGAAGCGCAAATGTTGGACACAAAAGGGTAATCCTTTCTCGTTGAACAGGAATATGAAATGTCCTGGACAAGAACCTCGAATTCTAGGTTTTGGACCAACATTCGACCATCTAATTTAAATAGTATATGGGCATGTACACCGCCGTCGTACAAAAAATATGGGCGTGTACACCGTTGTCGTACCAGGCTTCGATAGTGTGACCCGCCTTACCTGGCCCTTTGATATGATTGATATCATATCATATATATCCCTTACGGGATTTGAACCCATGTTTTCGCCATCAAAACGCGATGTCCTATACCCCTAGACAAAAGGGACGAATGAATATGCTTGTAGCTCAATTGGATAGAGCACCACCAAACTACAAATTTGGGGGTTGAGATAGGTGACTGTCACACAGTCGGGAACCTTGAGTGCGCACGTCTTTCAACAGGCCCGCTGGGTTCCTACATGTTGAGGGTGATGGGGAAATTCCTCTACCCTGCCCGTCTTGAAACACGGTCTGAGAAGTTCATCGTGCATGCTGATCAGTGAGGTCTTAGTCCACGAGGCGGAAGAAACCTCAGTGGCAGGGGCTCGTTGTGAGAGGAGCACCCGTCACCCAAGATCTGTCGTGAGAGGTTCGAGTGCGCTCAACAACCAAACTACCAGAACTTCAGTTCAACCCCACTTTCCTGAAATAATTAGGGCATAATCACAACGTGCATTTCCCAAAATGCATCTGACTCGAATTACACCCCAACCAAATCACAACGCACACTTCCCAAAATGCATCTGACTCGAACTACACCCCAAGCTACCAGAACTTCAGTTCAACACCACTTTCCTGAAACAAATAGGGCATAATCACAACGTGCATTTCCCAAAATGCATCTGACTCGAATTGCACCCCAACCAAAATGCATCCACAGCTCAGTAGAAAAGACCCTTGTGTCAGTATCCCCTTAAAACTCAGATGCTCCTTGCAGAATCCCTGCTATGCTGTGATCTGCCGGACAGACATGAGGGGAACTCCCAACAGGATGTCCAGCGACATGTCCGATGTGGCAGCCAGATAGGTTATAGGCCTACCATATTTGGCAATTTGGTCTCGATTACCTTCTTGCCCCGAGTACAACGTACGGTCATTATAGTGCTATTTGGGGTATCAAAAGAGGTGGTTGAGGGGATACTCACAACAGACATGAGGGGAGCTCCCAACAGAATGTCCAGCGACATGTCCGATGTGGCAGCCAGATAGTGAACTCCCAACAGGATGTCTGTCCAATGTGGCAGCCAGATACGTGATAGGCCTGCCATATTTGGCAGTTTGGTCTCGATTACTTTCTTGCCCCGAGTACAACGTGCAGTCATTATAGTGCTATTTGGGGCATCTTACCACCTCAATGCAAGCTATAATGACCGTACATTGTATTCAAGGGAAGAAGGTAGCAGCAATAGAGATTTGCACAAAAAATCAACTACAAAAGTCAGTACACCAACCTTGACAATCCTGAGTAGCAGCACAAGAGGTAGTTGAGGGAATACTCACATTAGCACTTTTTACTTGTTTCCAAACAGAATTCCGGCCGGCCAGATGCATACAGGTACGGCCGTAAATGCGGATAGATACGTTTAAGATAGTGCTACTGTGAGTACGCCCTGAGTTCTCTGATAGAGCCTCACCTCAGCAATTATACCAGCTCCAGTCAATCCAATCTGTGTTTCACGCTAGTGGATGCATGAAGGTACAGCTGTAACTGGCGTTAGATAAATTAAAACGCCTTTCCCCTTTGTCCACAAACCCTAAACAAACAAATACCCCATCCCCCCTCGTGTGAGTATGCCCTCACTGTATTCATTTGCACCAGCGGATGCCCACCACAACTATGTCCGCAGCTCACACCCGGTCCTTGTCCTCTTCCCCCCTGCCTCCTCTGGCCCCAGCCTGATTCTGTATGAATCGGACAGCGTCACGTGGACTGGGCGTTGCCATGCGAGGCAGGTCAGACCATGCAGACACACAAACTAGGGCACAACAGCAATGGCATTATGTGGACCGGACGGAATTATATGGCTTCCACGGTGCTAAACATGGCGGACCAGCCACATCACTATTGCACTGGGAGGCACCAGGTGAGGTGGGCCACATCCTGTCGACTGGATGGTGCGAACACACAGACTTCTTCCGCCCCCCCTCTCCCCAAGAAAAGAAAATAACACGACCATGATAGGACAAAGAACCCGCATTGCTAACATCGGACACAATTCGGCACTTGCCAACCAAACCTTACTATGTAGGATGTTGTATCATGTGGGCTAAACACCATCGTGTAGCGTAGGCGACGTTGTGCCCGTTGGGTCATACCATGTTGGCCGCACAGCGAGGCTCCATTTTCATGCTTTTCACCATTTTACTGATTTTGTTTCAAATGGGAACCCACTGTTTTACAAATGTTACTAACAGGTTTGCAAGAATCGCAACACAATTTAGCGACTGGCGTCAAATATTGCTATGGGTTGCTTTTTTTTTGCATGTTTTGCAGTGAGAGCTCTGAGACGTGCATTGCATTAGCACTAAACGGGGCGGCACTGCCACACGTAGTCATACCATGTGGGATGGCTGCACCACACCCGCACCATAGTGTTGTGTGGGACCATGTGGGCAGGGTAGTATTATTTGTCGGCAGTGATACTAAGTCTGTTGGATGGCCTTATGGGTGGTGGTACTATGTAGCCCCAAAGAAAAAGGCAAGCCATCATGGCCAACTCGTACACCCATCACCTGCTGATAGAGAGACCTGAGCTGGAGGAGTGAAAACACCCTATGGATAGTAGAACTATGTGGCCCCTAAGACAAAGGCTAGCCCATGCGGCTAGCCCATGATGGCCGACTGGTACACTCATCAACTGTTGACAGACAGACCCATGCGGCTAGCCCATGATGGCCGACTGGTACACTCATCAACTGTTGACAGACAGACCCATGCGGCTAGCCCATGATGGCCGACTGGTAAACTCGTCAACTGTTGACAGACAGACGTGAGTTAGAGGAAGTTAAACCACCAGTACTTGGACCAGCTGTCAAGTCCGAGCCTCGGCCTACCGGCCTGCCGACCCCTGCCGAGGTTGGAGCTACCGGTTGTCCACCCACCCAACCTACTTCCAAAATGAAAGGAAGAAAAAAGAGAAGAAATGAAAAATGAAAAAACACATCCCTTTTCTCAAAATAAAAAACATGAAAAAAGAAAATGAACGAAACCAGGGACTTGATTTAGGAAAAAAGAAAAGAAAGGAAGAAAACGGTTCTGCTGCATTTCGAGGCAGCGCCACATGGAGTTTGCCGCGGCCCTCCGCGCAGC